AAAAAAAAAAAAAAAAAAAAAAAAAAAAAAAAAGGCGGGAAGAGTCTGATTTCAAGCCGTTTTCTTTGGCCTTTGGCCCTGAAAAATTGGGCTCAATCACCCGCCTAAAATAGGAAAAAACATAATGAGCGGGGTACGAATCAACCTCGGCGAGCTCCTTCCTGCCCAAGTCCGTGAGATGAGTGCCACCGAGAACCAAGGACCCCCATCGCAGTCCCTCTGCAGCCTCAGCATGTGCTGCGCACACACGATGTGCTTACTGCACATACCATGAAATGCATCCAAGCAGAAGAGACCAGCGGAGAGACAGACGCTGGGGCTAACAACGCAAACAGGTGGGTAGGAGTTCCTAGAGAAACTACAGTTGGATTTATTATGAGCGGGACAGATTATATTTGGAGACACGAGACCTCTTGCAGGAAAGCCCCGTCTTTCTGGTGCGGATCCCCCATTCCTGACCGTGCACATGAGTGCTGACCGCCGTTAACCTGCTCTTGTCCTGCCACCTGGGCAGCAGATAGCTTGTCTCCTCTCTCAGGTTTCCAGCCGAGGGGAGCCAGGTTCTAGCCTGACGTCCTGATTACTTCACAGGACTTGGTGATCCTGTCACAGGCGCCAGAGGCATCGACCAAGCAGAACTTTCCAACCGTCTCTAGACATTGGGAAGAAAGAAGCCGACGGACATTTGGTGGCCGGAAGAGAAAGCTAAGGCAGAGGCAACGATGCTCCCCAAATATCCATTTCCTCGCACCTTTCCCAGCACCCTCGCGGTTCACTGGGGCCACCTGACCAGTTCAGGCCCATGGACCGTGAGCGGGGGGCGGGGGGTCAGTCCTAACCTACGGCCACTGAAAGGCCCTCAGTCCTGCTGGAAGGTCTAAGGACAGGACATGCCGCACAGATGACGGGGCGACCAGATGGTCACCGCGGGTCTCAGAATATATGAAGCAGAATGGCCACTGGCTAATGCTGGACACACAGTATGAGTGACCGGTACGCCTTGTCACCTCAAAGCACTGAGCTCTGAGAGCTCTCAGCATCGCTGATCCTACCTTACCCTGTCCTGTCCGTTGGCAATCTTCTCTCCCCCTCGATCGGGGTCACACTGTACACGTCTTCCAGGGACAGCCCTTTACCTACAAACAGTCAACGCCCAGGACAGAGAAGCTGCAGAATGGCACTGCCGTCCTTGGAAGTCACCACCTGCCACGTGCTTCTGCCTAAAAAAATTTTTCTAATCGCATGACTGGTGGCTTCAAACAACACGTGGTAAGGGAATTGTCGTGGGGACAGCGAGCGTTTCCCCTCAGGCCTCGGGGCCGCGAGTTGCACCCATTTCAGCCACAGGGTCCTCTGGGACAGCAAGGTGCCCGGTACTTCACCTGCTCTCTAGGGACTTGGGCATCTGTCAGTTTGTGATCCCACCAGTTCCTCCGTCTCCTGGGATCCCCGCACCTGGACTACTTTCCCCGTGACCAGGAGGAAGGACAGCCAGACCTCCCAGCCCGTTCAGGGAGTTCCAGCCATCCTGCGGTGTCCTGAGCTGGGTCACAGTCACAGGTCGCTCCCTGCGTGGGCGACTTTAGCTTTACGTTACAGGCCGCGCACGACCGGTCGGGGTGGGGACGAGAGGAGCCACGCGCTGGCTCTGGGCACGTGATACTAGTCCTCTGAGGTCCCCAACCTGAAGCTGCTGGGCCGGCGCATTTGGCTACTTACCTTCACCACAGACGCCCCATCTCCAGCACCAACTATTCGGCATCTTACAGGAAAAAGCAGCCCTGTCCTGAGGTGAGAATAGAATCTAACTTCTTCAGGAAGCATGTGAATAAAGGTCAGTTTTTGAACCTGCAAATAGTATTTTAACTAGTATTTAATTAGTGGGGGGGGGGGTTGTTTTGGTTTTGGGGGTTTTTTTTATTATCCCTCATCCAAGGATATTTTTTCCATTGTTTTTTTTAAAGTAAATCATCTTTTATTTTCATCTTATATCTGGTTACCACGAGACATGCAAAACCCTTCTGCCGGCTAAAGCAGGCGCGTCTCCCCCAAATTCCACGTGGGATAAATTACATGACCACACCTCTGAAAGGGGACTGTCCCACGAGCAGCTACGTGCCTGAGAGAGATCAGCCTTGAATGCTGAGTCGCACCAAGGCTGCTTCCAGCCGGGGGCAGGTGTCCCCCCGCCACGGAATTTCCACACACCGTTGCCCAGACCACTCTGACGCAGGACTTGGCTGCTGAGTAACCGGCTATGTCAGACCCTTAGGGGACAAGCCACCGACTCTTTCCTGACCATGCAGACTTATGGACTCATCCTGCTCCACTCAGAGAGGGTGTTTTCCATCATCACTCAGCATAAGCACCTTGAGGCCCCCCTTCTAGCGGGTAAGTCCCCTTGACCCCCACTTGCACCCCCGGCCCCTCAGTTCGCTATTTAGTGAGTTTCTTCAGTGGTGTGTGTCCTCTTGCCTGGCAAGTAAAACTTGGGTTTTGTTTTGTGTTTACTTAAAGCTCTGGTGGATGTTGTTTTCCCCATCCGGACTGCCTTTCCCCATCCGGACTGTGGAGGTTGGCTTCCAACAGGTTTGCTCTTTCCTAAACTGTCAGCTTTCAACAGTCAGGACTTTTTAATTTTTTTATCTTTATTGTTGAAAGAATTACAGATGTGCCTTTTTTCCACCATCAACCCCTCCTACCCCACACCCACCCCCGCCCCCGGCCTTCCCC